GGAAAGACAAATATAGCAAAATGCATTGTACTACATTTTTCTATCAAAAAGTAATTATACACCACGTTTTGATTCTGTTTAACTGCAATAAATGTTACAATCTACTTGTTTTACTGATTTTCCTTTTGGGGAATCTGCCTACTAAATGAGTAAACTACATAATAAATACAATATTCTCAACCAAAAAGACAATACAAGGTGTACAAAACAGCGGTTTTGCAAACACGACTGACTCAAAAACTTAATTTTTGTATGCTCAATGGGAGAAAGCTAAGCTTAAATCAAATTAGTTTATTATCTTATAAAATTTTAAATTAGATTTTTAAACAACGAACAGTTAAATATCATCAACATGCTATATCTCAAATCACAAGTACTGTTTAACCACTAGTCTCTCATTCTAAGTAAGTGGGTCAATTGAAAACACACACCATAAAACGTTAAAGATTGTCAGGCTTTGACAAATGTATTTTTATCAAACAGTAGGCAAATTCAAACCAATGCACATCTTCAGAAGGGAGGAAAAAATAAAACCACCAAAAAGCCTGAAAAAACCCACACTTGTAAAAAACAGGGTAACGGATTAACCCCACATCATCCTCTAGCATATGGCTATGTCTTGGGCAATAATCAAAATCCTTCCCATTTTAAAAATGGGCTACCAATTAATAAAAATATTCTTCCACAAGTAAAATATAATTTACAATGGCACTGACATTTTAAAAGGCAGGAAAAAAGGAATTACACATTTATGGATAAATCTCTTGTTTGTTAAATCAAGCTTTATTGATAAAATGGAAATCAAAGTATTTTACTTGGAACAGCAGCAGACCCAGCCAATCAGGATTGTAAAAATGCTGCAGACTCCTACTGCTTGTAGAAAGCTGCCTGTCCATGCTCAGTGATTAGTACTTTCAGGTAGGGGTTAATGAAAAAGGAGGTGCAGAGAGTGCAGGCATTCTAATCCCACGGTCCGCACGCGTAGGAACACGATGCTATTAATAGGGCGTGAGTTAACTGAAGTCAAAGTCGACACAGCCTCTAACTCGGGGTGAGAGCAGGAGCGTGCCCCAGGAAAAGGACACACCTCTCTTGAGGGATGTGCACCACTCAGTTATTTTTCCGTTGCCAAGCAAATTCACACACTCTAATTTCTGGTAAGTTGCCCAGGAGTTCAGCTTTCGTATAGAACAGCACGTTATCTTTACAGTTTTGTGCACCTCTTGAGCACCTAGCTGGCTAGGCTGCTGCTCCTTGCAATCCAAAACCACAACATGAATCTCTAGGGATATATACTGTTGCATCACACAAGCCAAACATTTCTTCTAACCTTTATAGTGATTTAAAGCAGTTCATAATTAAATATGAGCATTTTGTACAAAGACAATTGCACTTTACAAAAACAAAATCATACAACATAAACTGCTGGAGTCTGATTTACAACATGAATTATGGTTTGAAATCACGTTTACAGAAGTCTGTTTTACAAAAAAGATCAGTTCCTGGGCTAGGTGTTGTACTGCTGTAGTCACTCTCACCAACATACTCCCTTCTTTGAGTGAAGTTGAGGATGGATGTTGAGAAGGGTCACTGAGGTTGGGCTGCACTTTCATTTGAAGGATGAAACATGAACTCCACAGCTAGATGAGCAGTTTTACCACATATCATCAGTTGAGGCAGAATCCTTAAAGAAAAAAGAAGGAACCCTTTAAAGTCTGGAGTGCCCACAGTTACAGCAGTTTCTGGATAATCCAGACTGAAAAGGGTGAAGACATAAATTATTTTAGGAGTCTGTTTTCCCTCCTCTTTCAGAAGTAACATTTAAGTAGCATCCAAAACCCACATTACTTAATTAATAGCATTAGTAGCAAAACATTGCACAATCTGACCGAGTGATTTATAACAGCCTTGTCAATCCTCAGAACAATATCCTGGGAATGTGATTCAAAAACATTCCCCAAGTAGTTAGAAGCAACACAGAATGGATACGCTTACTACCCAGGTGTGTTAAAACAGCAGGATGTGCCTCATGCTGCTTGCTAGTATCTTTACCATCTTGGGTGTTTTCAGCCCTCCCTTGATGCACAGGAAGATACAGTCATCAACGGACACCCTGTTATAATTCAGATCAATTTTATCACTTATAATTTAAGGTTAGAGAAGCGTAGCTTGGGTGACTGCAGGAAACCCTAATTTTGGATGGTAATAAAACCGCAAGGAGGAAAAAAAAAAGTCTATAAGAAAAAAATTGGAAGCAGAGACCTGCTGTGCCCTAAATCATAACCGTATGGCCACACCACACAGCATTACAACACTGCATGCAATACTTGAGTATCCCTAAAATGTGTTCCACTTAGGCCTACAGGCAACAGTGGATTTTGTGTAAATACCATACCCCTGAGAAATATTTAACTGATCGTTGCTAGGTTAAAACAAAAATTCCTACTATGAATTTAGTATTTAATTCTAGTAAGTGTTTTTTAAGCCATTTGCCTTTGTCTGTTTCCTTCTCCCTTGCTTAGATTGTTCTATGTTCAGCCTTCCCCAGCTGCCTCATGAGTTGAGTACGTAGGTTAACCCCACGACAGAAGTGGGACCACAGCTCAGTAGCTGAAGCAACAGCACAGTCAGGAGTGGAGGCACTGAAGCAAACTGCTTCTGTACTGCAATCTTTGGTTGTTTCAGCATTACCTCCTACCGTCCCCTAAGTAATTAAAGGCCATGATGGGCTTCAACAAGTTTATGCTGCTGCTTCCACAGCTACACTTCCCTATCATTACTAAGACTGCAGGAGGTAGAAATATTAATCCTCTTTAAAAGCACTGCCTGATTCCTTTGCGTCAGAGATGCTAATTAAGCCTCTAGCAATGCCCATATGACAATTTCTTAGCACTAAAGTTCTGCAACCTTCATTCAAACTTGCACACAGAATTCATTACAGACCATAAAGAAGCACAGCTGACATGGAGGTGTAGTTAAAAAAAAAAATCATTACTAAAATTACCCTTTGCAAAAGTACCACCTCCAGTTTTTCCTTTGAGACCAGAAGCAGCAAAGGAGAGCAATTATATGAAAGACCAAAACTGATGTGTTTGTTTCAAGGATGAAGAATAAAAGCTGTAGTGAGTAGAAAAGCAGGAGCTGCATGCCAGTTATTCAGCATGCCTATTTCTGTATCCAAGTTGCCAACATCACTGCAAAACAAAGGAGTTTGTGTACGACACATTTGTAGAACAGTACCATACTACAGGATGTATTTGAAAGGTAAAGCATCCCTCTTTCAGCCACTCTTTAGGAATTTTAAGCTAAAGATATAATGAGAACAGCCAAATAAAGTAGCATGCAGTTGTAAAACAAAATTCTTTACATCTGGACGAATTCATTCATGTCACGTCTAAGCATGTAAGTAATTTTTACTGATAAGTGGAGGATCAGTTTAACTCCTTTCTAAAGTACAGCACTTTTGGTGACAGAATGTTGTTCCCAGTGATCTAACTGCAATTGGGAACGCTGTTCATATTTTAGAGTTTTGGGGTTTTTTTTCCCCATTGACAGTGGATTCATGTCACTCTAATCACTGACTGACACACAAGAACCTGAACTGTGTGCTTGCTGTAAGATGCACTATGCTTAAAAATAAAAGTCCATGTGGAAAGTTAATATATCCTTAAAGCTGACAGCTACTGATCTGTTTAACCTACAAGTGCAGGTTTTTTTTCTTGATACTTTGGGGAAAAATGTCTCCCATAAGAAGGAAAAAAATATACACAACTTCACATGATTTGCCAGGAAAGCATTTGGAAACCCAGGCAGGATTCAAATAGTTCCAGAAGACAAATGAATCAAACATACTGGACTTTTGAGACTATGATCAGCAGAAGGCAGCAGCAAACAATTACAAAATACAGTTCAAAGAGCACAAAAAGATCTTGCTATTGCTTCTTTGGGGCAAAGGGTCATTTGACAAGAACTAGCACTATGCTTCTTTACGAAACTGTTAAAATGATTGTGGTAGGGGGAAAGATAACACAAGGATACTTACAGTATCATCATTCCTGTAGGGGTTCAGTCTGTTATAAACGGCTTCAATCACACTCCGTCTAGAGCAAAAACAAAAAACCCACATGATTTAAGATTTTAAGGTTGTCTTTTTTTTTTTGAAGTCAAATCCCCTGAATACAACTTTAATTTAAAACGCAAACTTTAGGAAGTTTCAAAAATCACAGAACCAAGTTTACTGCAAGTTCGCACTAAATGTCATTAAACATTGAACATGGCTACTGTATCCTTTAAAACCTTTAGGTTCAAGAAAAACAAAGCTGGATACCACAGGAGAGCACAATGTGACATTCAGATGAGGCTGTGATGCTGCTGGGTGCTACGTCTCTCAAGTTTGAAAAAGGGCATCAGGAAAACTGGTGGATGTTGAATGCCCAGGTCACTGGTGTGGCTGACGAATGCTGCAGTCATACTTCACATGCTGTGCCATTTCACAGGGGGACAGCAATTTCTTTATTTTCTTGATGCATAAAAATTGCATTCCGAAGTACATTTTTATTTGTGTTACATTCTGAAATGTACTTTCCGTGTGCAAAGTTGGAAAAATTATTTCTGAAACAAGACTATTTTACAATAATATGTCCACTGATCATATGCAACCCCTGCAACTTTTCTCAAAAAAATTGAAACTGCAAGTAGCAGTTCTACGTACCGTATCTTCAGACTGAGAAGAAATTTGTCTGGTAAAAAAATATTAACAAATTAATTCAAGCATCTTGTCAGTTTCCTCCTTAAAAAAAAAAATTGCTTAGCATATATAAGATGGGTTGTAATTAACATTGGTCTCTGGGATTCTCAGCTTTTATAATATTAATAGAAATACTGGTAGGAAATATAGTGATAAAATATTAATAGAAAAATATTAACAAAATGTAAATGCATGATTTTTAATTTTTTTTTAATTTTTTTTTTTTTTTTAATTTTCACAGGGTAAGAAGTTTTTCTTGAAAACTGATACTCAAAAAAAGAAAATAATGTGAGGCTGAAGGAAGAGGTAGCCTTTGCCTTAGCCAGCATTTAAGGAAAGAACTTTGAAGGAGGAGCAGGAAGGAAAGAGGGGAGTAAGAGACAAGAATTAGAGATTGGACTTGAAAAGCTACTTTCTTCCAGACCCCCTTCTGCAGAACCAAGTATTCCAAAGCAGCAGACTACAACTGTGACACAAAACAAACTTCAAAGAACAACCTTTAAATGGCTCACGAATGCATGTGGAGCAATCACCAAGAGTGCAGTGGAAGACAAAAAGCAGATGATAGGCTTTATAATCATCCTGTAACACTGAAAAGCCAGGAACTACCATGCAGCAGCATAAACATCATAGAGAATCATTACAGGTCACAGAAGAGCCTGAATTTTAAGCAATAAAATCAAATAATTATGCACAAAGCATGTTGCACTTATTAACTGGGAAGTTTCCCTTATCGTTCAAGAAATAGGTATCTTTGATTCTAAATAAAGGCAGGTTTCTTGAAAAGCATTATTTTCCTTCCAAATTGGCGGGAGTGCTTCGAGTTACTCTAATATCCAATTAAATCCATACTTCTATTGATCCCTATTCAAACTGGCATCGCTATGACACAAAATGCCACAGAAGTCAGTCACTTCAGCACTTCCTCACCACCACAAAGCTACTGCTAGCCAAAGAAGATTGAGAAAAATCAATTTGTATGCTGTATTTCATGAGTAACCAATTCATTGATACTTCCAGACTACAGCAACACATCCTGAATAGATGTTTGTTATTATATATAAAATTGCCATGTCTTTTCCTAGTCAAAACGGTTCAGTTAAGAGTGATTTTGTTTTGTAGAAGTCAGCTTTACAGTTCAGTTACCATTTATTCAATTACATATGTATAGTCTTCATGTTTTGGTGCAACAGTACAAAAATCATAGTCTGAAGTGTTAACAATATAGTCTGTACCGTATGTGCCAAATCCATTTTAATACAGCACAGGTTCACAAAAAATCTTTTGAACCAAAAAGTACCTGGTTTGGTGTGCAAATGAGCCAAGCACATTGCTTCCTTAAAGACTGAGAAGCCACAGAGCATCACCACTCAGCATGAACTCTTCAAGGACAAAGCCAGGCTATATAGAGCTGTCAATTTAACTTCCCACTTTTCTTTTTTGATAGACTTCTATCTAGTTTTCAGATTTGTTGCAAGCAGAGAGATACAAAAGCAAACTTTTAAGCAATTACAACACTGCTTTAGCTACAGGCAAGAAAACAAAGCTGCCAAGCAAAACATCATACGCATATCACTTCTTACTGAAGTGCAGAACTACACATCCAAGTGACTACTGAAGTCACTGCATAATTTTTGCATCTTCAAATATAACCTCCCACCCAGAAAACCCAGTTAATTACAGAAAACAGACACACTCAGGCCACTCTTAAAAAAACCCTTCAGTCCTTCCCAAAACTAGTTTGACATTTAATTTTAGTAGCAGTTCAGTTAACTCTATTCTTATGCTTGTCCTTTTCATTCAGAACAACCGAGTAACAGAAATCAGAAAACAAATCATCACCTTTTGTCCTGTACCCTTCTTCCCTCCCCCCACTTTTAAGAGTGGCCTTACAGTTAAGTTTTGATTTAAATCAAAAACCACATTTACACTGATGTGAACTCACTTGCTTGCCAATTCACCCCCCGGCGGGAGGTTTGGGATGCTCTCAGTTGCTAACGTACGCATCACGTGGACTAAGTCTGGGACTCCTTCACCCTGCTTCTTTATGATCTCTGGGAATCAGAAGTACTTTTTTTGTAAGTGCAGTCCAAATTTAACTTAAAAAAGATTGAAACACTCAGTTTTATAAAAAGGCAGCTTAACTTCTGTTAATATATATTAAAAGAAAAAAAAAAAGTATGACAGACAGACCGTATTCAACGTGGGAATTAACTTTGGTTCTGTAAGAAAAAGAACCTGCAACAGATTTGACGATACACTGCTGTTAACATGCACGCTGGTTTTAGAAATACACAGCTACCTAATCAAAGTAGGGAAAAAAATATCTTTTAATTGCTTTCCTGCTATACATTTTATCTACTAGAGTATCTTCCCAACAAAATGCCCTGGTCACGAGACAGGTATTAGCATCAGCTTTATCGCTGCAACAGAAGATAAAAGATTATTGCCATCATGGAAAGCACAGTGTTTTCAAGAAACAGAGTTAAACATTAAACATAACTCCCATGGCTGGATGTGTGTTAGCCAATACTTGCACCTCACTGCATTACAGCAACATGCAAATTTTAAGAACCATTACATACGAATGAAAAGCCAGGGACAACACATCTAAGAGGCGGTTCCATCCTCAGCTCACTTAAGGGATATGCTAATATTTGTCAGTTATTTAAAGCCGATCCATCCGACTTTGGGGTGAAGAGAAATTGTACTGTAGCTACAGTCATATCTGCTAAGAAATTAATTCTTAAACTCTATGCCTAGGTCTGGAATTTTAATGATTTTTTTCCAAGACATAAGCACACACTTATTTGCACTTCAGAGATTTCAGACCATACCAGCCCTGAACAGTTGTGCTCTTTAAACAGGTTTTTAATGAAATTTAAAGAACAAGGACATTTTAAAAATGGCATCTCCTTGGTTTTTCTGTAAACACAAGCCCTTAGAAATGATATCTGAGTTAAGACTTCAGGCTGTTGATCTTCCAGCGACCACTGCAGCACACGCAGAGCAATGTGTACACGTGCAGACAGATACACGCACGTATGTATGCACACACACTGGCCATGTGGCACACCTGGAATTCACCAACATCACTTTCAAAAAACACTCTCGGCAGTAAGTTTTTGCCCTAAATGATAATTCCAGAAAAATGACAGCAAGTTTCCATTTTATACTTTAATCAGTGAGACAAAGCACATTAAAAGCTTTTAAAACCAACATGTATCCAGCCCTTTTTAGCTAAACAACCTGAAACCAACAATTATGAATTACTTTTTGTGCATGTCATAGGTTTTCAGGGATGTGTGTGTTTACAAAAAGCATCAGCTCTATTTTGCAGTCAGGCTGTGTAAATTATTTGCAAGGTACAGTGGAAACACTGTTTAGCCCTCAACCAAAGTCAAACTGCCACACAAAGCTTTAAGCTGTTCAAGTAAAAACCTACATTTTAAATACATGACAACACACACCATAGACAACTCAAAAACTTGCCATTTCCTCAAAATCTATAGCCAAAATTCTTTTTAGCATCTAGTATTTAGTAAATCTAACATTTTAAAATCTGAATAAGAAGCAAAGATCTCAGATTTGGTTTGCCAAGTTCCTTTATTGTGCAATTTTGAACATCTAGTATATTCTACATTGTGCTATTGCTAAAGTTCTGCTGTACAAAAATAAGGAATTTTTAGTTTACCTATGCTACACAATTTCACAACCTGTAACTGCAGTACATTTAACATACAGTCTCCACTAAATGAATACATTCATATTTTGATTTAAACTATAGATACAGACTGAATAAACACTGAAGACACAACAAATGGAGTCGGTCTGCTAGCTGTGTTTAATTTATTGGAATTATTGTCTTTCAATACATCTTACAACCCTCCCCCACCCTTTAATTTACTTTTAAACCTTCTACATATTTTCATGGCATCAAGTATTGGAAAAATTTACTGACAACCCTACAATGGAAGATTCAATACATATCTGTTTTTTCGTATTTTGAATGGGAATTCTACACAAAGTGTAAGAAAAAGCCAGAGCTTTGATTTTGGGAAAATAAGGCAAGGAACATGTAACAGCTAACTTAAAATTGTTTATAGGTATAAATATTGCAAGAATTATCTATTATGGAATGTTTTAATGTAAAAAACTGAGAACAGGGAAAAAAAAAAAAAACTTAGACAAGTTTCTTTTAGAGTCAACACATTAATAACATATATTAGTGCAAGTAATAGCAACACATTTTGGAATGATGGATTACTTCTACCATGACATTCGCAGGATATTTTAGGAGTAACTGATGTACTACAAGCAATGGCACGAAAATGCTTCTCCACACTTGCTTCTTCTTCCATTGTTATTTATCATAGCTAAGAACCTGGACCACAAACACATTGAAATAACTAAAAGGAGAGTCCTAGGTGGTACAATAAGTAGAAAACTTTCTACTTTTAAAAATTCTTAATGGCCTCTCCTTATTCAAGATGACCATCAGTATTAAGCCCCATTGGAGTCTTAAAATTTGCACTACTTAACAGTACAAAGAGATATTCTGGGCTGAGGGAGTAAAAGTACAACTCCAAAAATATGCACTTTATTAAGCATCAAATTTCATTACTTCTTGGATTACACTGAGTACTGAAGTGCATAAAGATACATAATATGCATTTTCACCAAGTTTCCATTTTAAAGAATTTTAACTTCAAATTGTTAAGACAGATTAGTAAAATCGTTCTAAATGTAGTCTTTACATTTCCTAGTTCCTTCAGCTCCAGATTAGGTTTTTAAAGTTAAGCACTAACATTCTTAAAGTATTCCAGGATAACAGCAAGATTATCCACTGTAGTGTTGAAAGTTTCAGATGATGCAGGAGTCATATCCTACCAGCCAATACTGCAGTATCCATTTACACCATTTAACTGCACAAGAATTAAGCTAAACCTAACTAAAGCTAATCGAGTCCTGTTCTTGAAATCCTGCCTTAGTTCAGCCTCTCAACTTGCCTCATGAGTAAGACTTGAAAGGCCACATTCTGTACACAGCTGATACACATCACTGCTGGGTTGAGTAGTGTTTACTCCATATTAATCCATTTAAATAATATCTTTATGTAACAATAGACAAAAGATCTAGGACAACTCCAAAAAAAAACAAAGACTCTTGAGGGGAGGTACAATGTATTTCCTCAAGTTGTTCAGACATCATTTCATTAAATTAGTATTAAAGTGCTTTATAACTACATATGGAATCCTTCTGGCTCTATGAGACTATCACACTTTGCCCATTCCTGAAATTTATATATAAACACACAGTACTGGCAGCCAAATTTGTTGTATGTACCTTAACAATGTGCAGTTCCAGTGTTTATGTTCTTCATTTTCAAAATGAAGTGTCTGTACAAAAATGTGAGCTTTCCTCATCGTAATATTGGGGGTACAGCTGAAGATGCAGCCTGAACCTGAACATGTTTTCATATTCTAGGTCATGGGTTTGTCTGAACACAGACAAAATACCTAACATATGAAGGTAATGCTTGCCTAAATTAGGAGAGTTAGCATGCTGTACGCACTACTTTGAAATGAAGAAAGCCATCTGACATTAACCCATGTGGTGCCACCCTGC